TTAAGAGACTTCAGTCTAAGTAAGGAAATTAAATCCTCTTACACAGCACTGATTTGGAAAAATATTTCCTTCTTTTTTCCTAACCAGACACCATCTCCCATCCTCCTCTGCTCATTTATAGGTGTTTAAAGCCATTGTTTATTTGATTCTATATTATTTGTAAGAAGTCTTCCATAACACTTCTACTTTCTTCAATTACATACAGCATTTATCACTGACATAAGTTATTGAAATGCTTGCAGCCTTGTGTGACTATCTCTTCATTTTACTAGTCCATGTTCAAACAACTTACATTTTTACCTTCAAAAGCGTAAGAAAAGTATTCACAGACACAGAGTTGAGAATTCACAAGGAACCATCAAATACAGCAGCAGTACAATAGAGAAAACCAGAAGTTGAACTTTCAACAGGAACAAGATAAGAAAAATGAAAAACTCTCAAATAGGGAAAAGCAAATAAAATAAGGAAAGAATTATGTAAGTTCTTAGCAAGACATTAAAAAAATTGTTTTTAGAGCAGAATCATAAGCAGAACATATTTTAAGAACTATAAGAGTAAATGATTTCTTTTTAAATAAAAAGGCATTTTATCATTTTTATGAGATTCTAAAAAAGATGTTTTTCCTCCAGAAATTAGGACATTGAAGTATCACACCAAATAGAACAAATAAGTGGAGTTCCCATTTGTTCATAACAGATTCCTAATTAGTTTCCAGAATATGGAAAGAGCCACTGATAACTTGCTTTTAAATATTAAAAAACTTGCTTTTAAATATAGAGGAATGTAAAGGTTAGGATGTCTCTATCAGAAGCTTCTAAAAAGTTAGGATTTTCCTTAGGAAAGTATAATTGTAATTAATAGATGTAACTGCTACTATATGATATATTTTAGTGTAAATCTCCAAACTGAGAGTGAAAGAAAAAAAGAATGAACAGATTTATGGGAGACATTGTTTCTGAAAGGCAAAGTACATTTCCAAGATATTAAGGTATTTATGTTTAATCACTACATAAGCCAAGCCGGCAGAATTCTAGAACTGTGTACAGATATGACTGATTAACCTGTAAAAGAAGAGGATGTATTCCATTTTGTTTTACTTCCAGTAGTTGTACTAAACATACTCAAAGAAGTGTCCAAATTCAAGAATAAGACAGAAGGATAAAGCCTCATTTTAGCACGTATTGTCTGTTGGGCACTTACTGCTATTAATGGTGAGCACTCAGCTGCTGGTTATGATCCTAGAACACAATTTATATACAGCATAATAGATTGGACAAGGGTGATACAAGTTAATCAGATGAAGATTCACTAATAAATTAGTTTATGCTAACATGTGCTGCTTGTGATTAAAGTGATTATAGTTGCTCCTGACTTCTTAATAATAAATACAAAGAAGCTGGATGATCTACTCTATATTAGCACAAGCTCTTAATTTAAAATGTCTTCATTAATTTTAATTTTTTTAGCACCTGAAACTGAGTTCAGCTCTCTTCTGCAGCTCTGTTCTGAGATTGTTACATATTCTTTCAATTATCAAAAAACCTTTATTGTTTTGCTAACTTAGTTTTCTTCTATATCAGCTTCTAGGTCTTCACAGTCCTAAGCCCAGAAGGTGTAGTTCCAATTGTACTAATGCAAATGCTTACAAACTTTCACAAGATTCATGAATTACAGCTGCTTATTCACTTCCTTTTATAATGGTTGAAAGTTTTACTTCCTGCACCTCTATTTACCTTTCATGTAAATTTTACCTTCTGTAAAAGAGTACTCTATAAACTATACATACCTCCCAAAATTACTGTTAGATATATATTTTTTTTCTCTTGCAGTATTTCTATAGCTGTCATGCAGACAAGATGTGAGTACAGCTTACTAATCACACATTTTCTTCCACGCAAACACAGTGCTCAAATTTCTATGCTTTATTCTGAGTAAGAAAAGCCATTTTGTTCTCTGTAGGACAGCACCAACTATTGCACTTTAAATTTGACACGTTTTCTGATTGATGATTAAGAATTACAGTCACTACAGGCTCAAAAGGAAAGGAAGATGTAGGTGGACAATTTTTGATGGTCAATGCATCAAGGAACTGCTTTCTCATTCTATTTTCATATCAGACACCTCCCTTTTTGCCCAACACAAACTCATCTTGAAGCTTTTCTTCCACTAGCAGAACTGATAATAAGGTAAGAATAAAGTTTTATGGCATTTCAAAAATTAAGGCAGCCAATCATTTATAATATTTTATTTCATTATTGTTCCATTAATCAAAATTGCTGGGCGTGAAGTTTGCCAGTGAAAAGTTTATTTTTTTTTATCATAACCACGATATAACGCTGATCTCGCAATCTTCCCTTATGGAAAAAAAAATTCTCAATAACACCTACAGATAATGGACAAACTTATCCTTATGTACTACCAGTTGCTTTGGAGATACCACAATAAAGGCAAAGATTTCCTATTTAGTGTGTCATCTTTACTCCTGTAAAGCCTACATAGCTGAAAGTGTGCTTACTACTTCCTGTAGCTTACTAACTTTTTTTTTTTTTTAATTAATCACTGTCATGGTTTTATGTGTTTTT